AATGTTGTTAGGATATCATAATTCGGATGATACTTTGACTTGAGTAAGGGTGTCGTTAAAGTGTATGGGTTTTACAACAGATTCCAAATATGCATTCTTAGTAAAGCACAAATCATAAGTAATTGGTTCGCTCTATGCGGCGGGTAAAAGTGGATAACTAAGATTGAGCTACACCAAAGTAAATTAAATCGAACCTTTAATTATAGTGATTTGAATCATACTTCGATTTATTTTGTATTCTCAAATTCATGAATTGTATTAATTAAAAAGATTAGCAAACTATAAACCAAATCAAACCCATGACCAGATCAAACATCATTTTTTCTTCGTGAAGCATTTTGGAAACCTTTTATAAGTTTATGATTCAAGTACTTTGCTTGATGCATGATTAGTAATAGAAATAAATTGGTACAAATGTTTTTAAATGAAAAAGATAAAAAAACCATGAAAATTATCATAAAATATTATTTTTTTAAAAATATTTTCATTGTATTTTTCTTGTTATTTAAGTGTATAATGTAAATCTTTGCCCCATCAAGAAACCAAAAACAGTACAGAAATTCAATTTTTCCACTGTCAATAAGCATGTCAATGCACAGTCTAGGTTTTTCATTTCAATTAATCCAATTGATTTGTTTTTGAAGTTATGAAGAACCAAGAGATTCAATTTCTTTTCATCTTCAACTATCTTTTTGAATCACCAACAAATCTTGATTTGGAAGAGGAAGCACATATCTAAAGTTTGCTACCCAAGTCTACCGGTGGTGGTGAAGAACCTTAATTGGCTCAAGAGCATCAATTATCCGTTGATTTGGAATTTTACGAATACAAACAAAAAATATATTACTTAATTAAAGATGTATGAATTAAATAATATGAACATAACAATTGTATAGATTTCACACATTGTGTTAAAATTTTATGGAGAAAACCTCTTCTTAATGCTAGAACTAACTTAATCATTTCCACCGTTGAAGAAGAAAAATTAGTCACTCGTACTCATCATTTCATCCTTAATTACAAAGGAGTACAGAGGTCAAATAGTACAATGAAAAACACAAAAGGAAAAGAGGGAGAGCTGTAACAATCTGGTAATCCATGCTCTTGGTTAGTCCACATGGCCAGCACTGAGATTTTGGAGCCTATGTTCTATAAAAAAAATGTGATCCAAATTTTTTTCCTAAATATATAATAGAACATCAATGATTAAAAATTACAACATTAATCAAAAATAATATCTACCTAATATAATTTGAGATAAAGAGTAACAGTGATTTAATAGTAAGATGTAATTAAAAAATTAATTATTTGACAGACTGAATAAAAAAAATAAAAGAATAAAAAAGTAACTAAAAAGACAATTAATCAATTAACTAGAGTCACCTGAGTAGGCAATGAGAACTTAATTAAGTAGAGGATGAAAATTATTTTAGAACAATCAAATAGTATAAACAAATAATAGAGTAAACTACGGGGTTTCCTCTGGACACTCTTTCTGTCAGGTATCTAGGGGTTCCCTTATTAATAGGCAAACTGAGCTCTCATGATTGTCAGGTGTTAGTGGACAAAATAACAATAAGGGTGAGAACCTGGCAATCTAGATTTCTTAGTTATGCAGGTCGCCTGCAGTTAATTTCTTCAGTCATAACAAGTGTTTTTCATTACTGGATGACAATTTTTCTTTTGCCAATGAAGGTTTTGAAACTGATTGAGAAAATCTGCAATGACTTTCTATGGAATGTGGGTGTAGGGGGTTCCAGAAAAGTGCGCCAGTTGCTTGGGATTATGTTGACTTGCCAACAAAGGAAGGGGCGGGGGGGGGGGGGGACTGAGGGTCCGTGACTTTAAAACCTAGAACCAGGCTTGTGTCATTTGCCATCTTTGGAATCTCCTTGCAGAGGCAGGCTTCATCTGGGTTGCCTGGATCTACAAATAAAGGGTCAAGCAGAGAACAATTTGGGATCTTCAGATTACTGCTAGTGGTTCTTGGGTGTGCAGGAAAATTTTCAAATGCAGACCCAGAGCTTAGGCTTTCATGACTGGCAGTGGAGCTTCTTTTCAATGGGATGAAGCCACGCTTAAAAAATATTCAGTCAAGGCAATCTTGGAATCAATACGCACTCCTCATGAGTCAGTTCATTGGAACAAAGTGATATGGGGCAAACAGTACTATCTCAGGAGGATCAGAATCTCGTATTCACCTTTTCTCACTATGTTCTTACTCAGTGTGGATATTACAACAAATTATGCAGCAGATTCGTTGTGTGGTTCCTACTTTCAACAAATGGGAGGATCATCTTCAATGGAGGGTTGATCGTTGGAGTGGCTAAACTGATTTGGCAGTTGCTGGCGGATTTTTATGGCTTTTGACTTTAAATCATTTATGGCGCGAGAGATGCAGAAGAGTTGCTGGAGAAATTCATTGGTGTCCCCCTTATACTTTGTTACTGAAGATTAGAATTAATGTTTGCTATTTTATGGCAGGAAGTGTACAGCTTCAAGAAAGCATTAGAAATGTTTCCCCTTGATATGTAGAGATTTTCTATGAATTGAATGTATAGAGGATAGGGTCATTGTCGAACTCTTGAGAGGAGTTTAATGCTTGTTGGCATCTCCTGAGCTAAATGACAATTTTTTATTAACCATAAAAAAATAGAGTAAACTAAATTAGATAGGAGAAATTGGTAATTTTTTGGGCTAAAGTTAAGTATGGTACGAACTATTTATAATTGATTTAGTTATTTTTACTATAGGTGCCTTGTACCTAATTATTTTGGTTAACATTTAATAAATCAATGCATATTATTTAATTAATTTAGCATTACTGCATGGCTTGTACAAACAAATTAATTGAAGAAATTGAATTATTTTCTCCCATTGGAAAGCTAAAAATTAAGACAGTTAAAGTAACAAATTTCATAATGCTAATAATGAGACATCAACAATCTTACCTCTCTTATTCTATTTAGGAAACACAAGACAAAAAATGAGTTATATTATATGGTTTGAAAAAAGTCTAATAAGAAAATAACTATCAATATGATTGTTTAATAATTTCCCCCATATGATTCGTTCGTTCCTTTAGCCTTTTGAGTTTAATTTTAAAATATGATTGTTTTAGATCCATAATCAAAACTCCATTGATAAATTTTCTATCATTTTAAATTCATAATAGAAATCCAATAATTTGTGATAGTAATTAATTATATACACGATGCAGATCAAGAGGCTCCCGTAATTTGATGGCCTTGTGCCAGTGTTCCAGAGTGTCTGCCGGCACATCTTCAGGGCCGACCCTGAGTCCATCATTCATTAGATAAAATCATGACATTGGTATTATAGTAAGTGGAAAGAAAAGAACTAATGAAAAGAAAAATATGATTAAATATTTAATTGATTCAAAACAATGATATCATAATGATTCCATGATGGTAAGTGACCAAGTATCTACTTTTGGGTGCAACTTGTAACTCGGGAATGGATCAGGTGAGTAACCTTATGGTGAGTAACCATGAGTAACTCGTCCACATCAGCATGATATCAGCATCTTCTCTCTCATGGAAAGCCTTTAATTTTTCCCTCTTTAATCTTTGACGGACGATTTCTCGCTCATTTTAAGTCAAAATTTAATTTTCTTTGCACAGTTAGATCAGATTAATTGTGCTCTTCAAAATGATATCCACTTTAATATATTTTTCGAACAAAAAAATATTGAGCCATTTTTTACCAGCCTATACCATATGGTATTGACTGGTATTGAAATAAAAGCATACTTATGTTTTGAAAAACGTACCATGGTGGTATGAACAAACCAATACTGTAGGATGGTTGAATACATGATAGTAGAAGTATATTAATTGTAATTTACGACTTTTAACATTGTATACCACACAATACCACCCCGTACCAGGGTGGTATTGTATGGTATTGTGTGGTATTTTTTGGTCCTGTAATTTGTTCACCCAGAAATTTGTAGATCCAATAGATCATGATGAACTCGTCCCTTCTGTGCAAACATTTTCAAAAACGAATTAAAAACGAAGAAGATACCATACAATACCACCTCGTACCAGGGTGGTATTGTATGGTATTGTGTGGTATTTTTTGGTCCTGTAATTTGTTCACCCAGAATTTGTAGATCCAGTAGATCATGATGAACTCATCCCTGCTGTGCAAACGTTTTCAAAAACGAATTAAAAACGAAGAAGATACCATATGGTATGCAGTTGGTACCGAGAGGCCAGAATTTTTTTTTCCTAAAAAAAATATTGACTATTGATCTCATTTTGTAGAGCACGGTGAACTCGTTCCATCTGTGCAAAAAAAATTAAAATCCGAGTTAAAACGAAAAAGATATGAATCAATTAAGAAAGCTAGTGAAAATAAAAATAGCCTTTAATTCTCCATCCTTAGATCTGGATTTTCTAAATGAAGGGTCCAGATTTGGTTATTGATGGGTGCATAACCCATGGTTATGCACCCTATCTTGAGCCTGTAACTCATGCAAAATTTTAATTAGAACCAAACAAATTAAATAATCAAGAGGAGTATGACAAAGAAAAATCCTCCCTTGCACTTGCGTCAGAGGGCTTGCAAATATTTATTCAACCACAAAACCAAAGTCGCGGCAAAGCGCGACAAATATTCCTCATTAGTTAATTGAAGGTATATGAACTAAATAATCTGAACATACCAATTGTATAGATTTCACACATTGAGTTAAAATTGTAGGGAGAAAACCTCAAAATTGGTTTCTAATCGTAATTAATCCGAGCCTCCACCGCCTTCTATCTTTTAAATTTCTATAAACACAAGTCCTAAGTACTCGGAAGCTTTTCTTTACCTCCACAATTGTGTTTTTAGCTTGGGAAGAATACACAATGATTAATTGAAGTCGTGAGAGACATAGAGGATAACAACCATCAATGGATTAGATTAGCAGTGATAGAATTGTTATAATTGAGGTTCCTAATTGACATAGAACTCGGCGTGATCGAGAACTCACTTTACCTTCGCCGCTAATAATCAAAAGTCAAAACCTTCCTATTAAAAAAAAAAAAAAAATTCAAAAGTCGAAACCTGAAGTGAGCTATTGTTCTATTGCTGACGATTTTGCAAGAACCAGGCGTTGCAATGGTAACTAGGACGAACCTCCCATCAAAGAACTGGATTAGAAACACAAACAAAAGTTGGAGCCCAAAATGGATGCAACTATGATCAATAAGACATACGCTTGGTTATATATGTTTTCCCAGATGTGAATTCAATAATGATATACCTTTCCATTCATTCCTTCCACAGCGAAATGGGCAGACTCTTCGCTAGCAAACCACACATGGCGAATCCCAGTGACTCATTCGTTCTCTTGTCCACTATGAATTTCACTGCAAACCCAAACAAGACTCCTTGTTAGAAATCGAACAGAAAAATTAGGGTTACCGAATCTGGCTGAGTCGCAGACTAGGTCGCTCTCTTTAAGACGTTCGCGGCACTGCCTTCGTTGCGCACGGCAGACTATCAGCCGGTCGCCTCCAGGATAAAACAGCCACTCTTATTTTTGTTGCTCATCGATTTTGTGCGAAAACCGGAGCTCTATGAACTCACTCTCTATCTCGTGTTTCTGCTCTCTGAGGTGTTTTTAGAGGGTCTGGGGCGTCTCCTATTTATAGGAGCAGAAAACCCAGAATATTCCCTCTTTCTTTGGGAATAAGTCATATTTTAATTAGGGAGATAATTACTCCCATAATTAAAATATAATCTATTAAGATAATTATTCCTAATCATCTCCATAATATTCCTTTTATTAATTATCCATCTTAATTTCGTATTATGGGAAAATACTGGATAATTAATTATGAATTTCATTATAGCTTTTCAAAGCTATTCATCCCAACAATCCCCCACTTGAATAGTTTGAAACTATCTCTGAGCATCAACAGTTCCATAAGATCGGGCATAAACTAAGGTATCGCGAAGATTTGAACCTTAGCGTAGTGGTTACACTTCCGATTTCATAAGGGTGACTCGTAGTCTTGAACCCTATCTCAGACAATGTAGCACACCGGATCTTTTCATTGAGTGACATTCTCTCATAGGCCGTGCGTTTATGGCCATGCACGTTATCCCGGTTTAGTGAACGCTCTAGCAACTTTGTGCCTCCAAAGTTCCATAGGGAGCGGCCCCACTCCCACATTCACATAGGTGAGTCTATCAGAAGTACCCCCAAAGTAAAGTACTCCACCCCACACAGGGTATAGATCTCATTAAGAGTTGTTAACTCAACCTCCATTGCTTTGGGATTCATGCTTCATTATGCATGAACTTTTCGCATACTACTCATGACTTGTTATTACCCATTGAACCCATTTCTTGGGATCTCCAGTCTATTGGGTCGGGTTACCATCACTTGTAGTCCGTGGTTCGGTAGGCATAAGTCCCATACCCTTGGCGGTATTTTGGACTTTCTCTCTAGATAATCCTTTCGTCAAAGGATCAGCTAGATTCTGTTAGGACCTTACATGATCCACCCTCATAGCTCCTATCGTTAGGAGTTCTCTTACAGTACTGTGCTTACGACAAATTTGTCGTCTCTTTTCGTTCTAGAACAGGTTCCCTTCTTTAGTAATAGCTGCGGTGCTATCACAATGAATCAACTACCGGAGGGATCGGTCTTTCCCATAAGGGAATCTCTAGTAATGACCCTCTCAATCAACTTTCCTCTTTACTAGCCATTGCTAGTTCTATCATTTCCGTTTTCTTAGTTGATTGAGCCAAGATCATTTACTTCTTAGACTTCCAAGACATAGCTTCTCTATCGATGTTTAAAACACATCCTCTTGTTGTCTTGGAGTCCTCTATAAGGTATTCTAATCCGCATCATTATACCCTACCAATACAGCAAAACCTTTGATAACAAATACCAAGGTTTTTCTGTTCTTTTAAGGTGTCTCGTGACCCCTTTCAATAGCATTTCAATGCTTCATACTAGGACAATCAGTAAGCCTGCCAAGTACCCCCACTATGTCGGGTCTCATGTTTACCAGCTGCCTCACGCAGACTGTCGATGCTAGTATATTCTAACTTTCTCTGTTTCTCACACTGTTTCCAGTGTTCTTTAATATTTACACTAGCATCATCAACCATTTCTGCAGGCATACTGCTTGTATTTCTTCTAGATCTTAACTATGTGGTTAAACTGATCTAGAGGAAATCTATTCATTGTCATAGTTACATGGATTTCCTAGCTTACACAAGCTTCATCGAGAACATTCAAAATTCTCAAACATGGTTTTTTCATATCGACATCACGATTCTTTGTACTAAAGATCGACGTGTCGTTCATAATGCAAGTGTCATTCTCAAATTTGTACTAAATGCACTTGTCACTTTCACTTTTAAAACCATGAGAGAGAACCAGTTTATCCATGCCATCGTCTTAGAGTCTATTTCAAATCTTACAATGTTCTGTCTAACTATAGACTCCCTAAGCATTCAGGAATAACAACCCTATAGGTTGTCCCATGTAGATTTCTCTATCTAAATCACCATTCAAAGAAACATGTTAAACAATCCATCTGACGCACAACACTAGCAATCAGAACATACATGGATGTTATTCTACATATGGTGAATAGATAACAAGAAAATTTACAATTTTTCCTTTTCGCTTAAAGCCTTAGCTATTAGGCGATCCTTATACTCATAAACTAAACCAATAGGTTTCACTTTTCTTTTAAGAATCCATTTATTACCCATGACTTCATTGTCAAGAGGTAATTCTCAAAGATGCCAAATCTTGTTTGACTCTATCGATATATTACCCAAGGCTTTTCAACCAAGAGGTAACTCTACAAGATTTTAAGTCTTATTAGACTCCAATAATTCCATTTCGTTAATAATGGATTTTCCCACAAATCTCCATCTTTATGAAAGTTCGAACTTCTAGCAGACTTGTAGGATCTCTTCTTAGGGTGTAAATAACAAATTCATAACCAAAATCTTTTCGCGATCTATGGTTCATTTGTCTCTTCTGAGTTCATACCCAGATTCATCACCCCCACTAGATCCATTATTTCTAATAGTAGGCAGGACACTACCCCCACTATTTCTTTATTTAAAATGGAAGTTTATTGGCATCAATGGATTTCACAACAACATGAGTATTTCGTTTCATAGGAACTATGTGTTTTTATTGTTGACAACATAAAACACACTCATATGCTTTTCTAGTTATCATGCTACACTGATTCTCTAACGCTACCACATGCATGCCACGTATCGAATAATCAGTGCAATCATAATGCAATTAGGCATTTCAAACCATTTCAAATAACTAGTCAGAAAATTAGAGCACTCTAAAGAGCAATAAATTATTTACTGTCTTTTCCATCAAGTTTACCCACATAAATCAGATCTATTTATTCTGATTCTCTAGTCACATACTTATGGGTCATTTAGCTTGGATATAGAAAATTCATATTTTTTCTCAAGCATTCAATAATAATATGGGAATGCGATATAAGATATTATAATTCTTCACATAGACACACTTGGAAGAATTTATCTTATCTACTTAACCATTCCTTACATCTAGGATAGTCAATGACTTTCTAGAGGCAGGGTTCTCTTCCACTTTTCCAGAACCATCAACAATAGTGGTGAGAGTCTTGCCCAACAACATTTTCTCCTTCAATACGCGTCAATGTATGATTGAGCTTAGCTCGTTTATCACACACATATCTTGAAGCGGTCCTATCCAACAACCATTCTTCAGAGTTACCATTAAGGCTAACCTCTGTCATCACCTCAGTGAATATTATTACCAAATCCTCTTCTTTAGTCAAGTTAACACTAGGTTAAACTTGTTCTTACACTTTCGTGTCTTATGACCTAGTTTCTCACAAATTTAACAGAGAAACATAACGTCATTCTTAGAGGATTGGGTGACAATCTTATGGTTACCACAAAGGGTACCATTCTATTTGGTGTGGATCTAGTTCAGCTTGCTGCTCTTATTCTTGAAACTTTAATGTTTCACAGCAACCTAAGTGGTTCGTGTAGTACTGATAATAGTACTTCTTATAGTATCGTTATTATGGGCAATAATCCCATTCTATTCCCATATATTCTTCAATGCACACATTTAGACAAAATCATTCTTTCCATAGCATGTATTCAATTTATACTCTAATCATCGAGATACATAATATATCTCAATGTCAACTTATCATGCATCAATTCAAGCTTTCATTCTAGCATTCATAACCTTTCTAAATTTCATGCATAAAACCAATAGACATGAATTCTACTTTTGTCATTTATTAATGACTCACGAAAAAGGTTAAGATTCTAACCTCTTTGCCGAGAAGTCACTCCCCTTTGATTTTATAGCTATTAGCAAATAGTTGTCACCATATAACTTCTTTGTTTCCCAGTCTCCAAGCAAATCTTAAAGGCACCACGGTAATCACCGAGAGCCCTGCATCTTTCCTTTCGATCTTAGAGGGTGAACGAAAAAATGTCCGGGACGGGATCCGCTTCCCTGCATCTATGAGTTTCACTCTTCTGTTAATGAACTCTCCATCTGTTAGCGATGTCGTCCGCTCCAATTCACACTTAGCGGTTACTAATAGAGGAACTCATGTCTGCGTGGCCAAGCTAATTAAACACTCAAAATAAAAGAAACGTGAGCGTTTGATCATCATTAAAGAAACCTTCCTCTCGCATGATAATTAATAAATTAATGAACTACTCCAATTAGGAGAAGAAAGCTTCTGAAGCAAACATAAGTCCTTCCCAAACGAGTAGGGAATTTCTCCTGACCGCAACTTGCTCGAGCTGATGCTCGAGCTTCCTCGTGGGGAAAGCTTCCCAGTGGAATAAATAAACTGTCCATCCAATGGAATTGGTACGCGTAAGGAGGCGAGAAGGTTGTGACAACACTGCGACCGCTGTGGTTAGTGCCGAGAAACTCCATAGTCGGAGCCCAGAGAGTCGTTTCCGCAGGACGCAACGAGCTTCCATCGATGACGTAATTTCTCATATAGCTTCGTCGCATCTCTCCTTCCGATTGAAGCCAGATATAGTAATCGAATCGAATCTGTTCGGTTCATATAACAGCAACCAAACGTCTTAAAATTGTTAGAAATCGAACAGAAAAATTAGGGTTACCGAATCTGGCTGAGTCGCGGACTAGGTCGCTCTCTTTAAGACGTTCGCGGCACTGCCTTCGTTGCGCACGGCAGACTATCAGCCGGTCGCCTCCAGGATAAAACAGCCACTCTTATTTTTGTTGCTCATCGATTTTGTGCGAAAACCGGAGCTCTATGAACTCACTCTCTATCTCGTGTTTCTGCTCTCTGAGGTGTTTTTAGAGGGTCTGGGGCGTCTCCTATTTATAGGAGCAGAAAACCCAGAATATTCCCTCTTTCTTTGGGAATAAGTCATATTTTAATTAGGGAGATAATTACTCCCATAATTAAAATATAATCTATTAAGATAATTATTCCTAATTATCTCCATAATATTCCTTTTATTAATTATCCATCTTAATTTCGTATTATGGGAAAATACTGGATAATTAATTATGAATTTCATTATAGCTTTTCAAAGCTATTCATCCCAACACTCCTTCCATTTCAGGTTAGAAAAAATTTCCACCCCCAATCTGAATAAAAAATAAGTCTCTCTCACCTCGGCTGATCTCTCCAGCCGTACCTCGGTGGTTGACAGGGCTACCCCTTTGATGAAAATGATGGTCGGCGGAGACGGAGAGGACTCCACGGGTGATGAGCTGCCGGAGATGGCGGAGCAGCTGTGAGGAATGGGGTTTCTGGCTCTGCGCAGTGAGATTTGAAGCTGGAGGGGAGGGGAAGTTGGGGGTTGAAGAAGAGAGGGAGATTGGAATGAGGTCGGACCGGACATTGCGGTCGGAGACAGGCCGAGCACTCTGGCGAAGATGCGAAGTTGTGTCTGTGCGAGTGTGAAGAGGTCCGAGCAGTTTCACGGCACAGGGAGGATAATTAGGATGAGCGTAAGATCTACGATGTGTTCGCCTGTAGGCTTTAAAGCCCATAAATTTACTGTATATCTGATATTAGCTTTTACCCTACCCGTTGATCGGATTAATTTATATTGTTTGTTAATCATTTATGCTAATCAATTTGTTTGTCTTAATGGGTTAAAAATCTATGGTCAAATAATCTTCTATTTGTCTAGAAAAGTTATGGTTGCTGAGAGATTACACTAACATATGAGTAGCTATTACAATGACCAAACCTCAAATCCTCATAGTATTTGTCTAAAATTTGATTAAATAAAGTACTCAATGCCTCAAATACACAATCAATTTTTTTTTTTTTGTGAAAATTGAATTTTCTTAAAAAATCATGATTTAAGAAAAAATAAAATCAATTGAATACATAAATATAAGTTATTTGGATCATCAATTTTAGTGTTTCATTTTGTATATAAATTAAACATTCGGAGATTTGTTTGACTATGAGTTGGAGAACCTAGAAATGTATACCAAATCTCTCACACCATCGGATAAAAAAAAACTTGTGTCGAATTATTTGACACCATGAATTTGGAAAAAAACTTGATGCAACACTAACATCATGTCCTGGAAGGAAGATGAGTGCAAGTTGCCACAAATATCTCCTCATCAAATACCCGCTGAAGCACTCCAACCCATTGGTCCTCAGCCGCCACCCATCTCCCTTCATGGTACTATTAATTACACCCAATTGGTCTTGAACCCTTCTCAAGTTAATTTCGTACATATTTGATGAGGGGAAGCCGTTGTGGTGATCGATTGGGAAGAGGAATAACCGCTCTTCAATGACACATAAGGAATTGATATCTCAGCGTTGATATAACTGCTGAATTGAACACTAAACAAACCATTCTAACAATACAAACGAAAGGAAAAGAAACTTCAAGAAGGTCCTACTAAATTTCCTAAAATAAGTGAAATAATATGGCAGCCAAACGGAACAGTCTGCAAAATTTCAAAGTGAGTGGCAAAGCCGGACAGCCGAATTAGTAAACCAAATTTCAGTCTAGGGGTGGACAACGGGACGGGATTGGGTACCCGTTCCGTTTGAAACGGATACCCAATCCCATTTGAAGTAAAAATTGCATCCCATATCCCATACCCGTACGAGTTAACGGGTACCCATTACCCGTACGGGACGGATAACGGGTACCCGCGAGTACCCATAATCCTCTACCTCTTCCTCCGCTCTCAAATAAATCATTTGTACGCCATATTTCCAGAGGAGAGCATAAAGAATTGGGATGGAACTGGTGGTTACAACCATGCAATTGATCACTACAAGGAGACATGCCATCCTCTTGCTGTAAAACTGGGGACAATAATTTCAGACTTGGAATCATTACTTTGTCGCTGATTCTGGTTTTGGCATCCTCAAAATTTTCTTTTCTTTTCACTATTGCTTTTTTCCCTTTTTTGTTGTTGTTGTGAATCGTGTTCAATAGGAACTCATCTAGTTTATTACAATCAATGAAATAGTGATCTTGTACTTAGTTATGATTGCGAGGAGGTTAAGAAAATATAATATGGTTGGATAGAAGGAAGAACAGCATACTGTAATTTCAGTTTTGAGGTTAGGCAGTTTTGAAATAGTGAAAAGAAGTTTGATGTTGAGTCGGCTCTGGCCTTCTGTATAAATGAATTTCATGGCTGCTTGCATGTTGGATGACGTACAGTTATCGTAGAAGATAACCTTGTCTCATAATTGCCATGAGTTTTCATATTTGAAGGCAAGCACTTGGATTCATCAAGACAGTGGGGACTGATTTGAATGGCTAGAACTGCTTGCCTTAGATATTCAATATTTGTTGAGACTTTGATTGTTCTTACACTACTGTTGGCTAATGAATTGTGGCAGCTTAGATGTATTCTCGTATTTGGGCGGGTAGTACGGGTACCCGTAATACCCAAATGGGTATTAGCGGGTACCCGCGGGTACCCAATGTTCAAATTCTTAATCCCAAGTCTCATCCCATGATAAATATTACGGGTATTTGGGTATCCGTAACCCTCTAAAAACGGGACGGGTATGAGTATACCCAAATACCCGTTTCCCATTTTCCACCCGTAAATTTCACTAATGAGTAATGACATGCATCACTACACGAAACACAAGTATTGGTTAGTTATACAAAAGCTCCATTACTCAAAACTAATTATGATGTGAAGTTGGTTGCTGCTATTGGAAATGATAGTATTTCAAATGGAAACGAATAGGAAGACAGTAATACAATTGCACCATTGATTCAAAAATTGAAAATTATACAACCCATGATCTTGACTTCCATCCTAGGTAATACATACATTGGGATTTCCTACAAGAACTTGAAGTAAGGTAACTTGAATTTTTTTTACCTGTTATAGTAGGTTTCACAGGTCGCATTACGTACGTAAAATATAATAGGCATTACGTATAATTACGTAACCTATTGTAATCTTACATAACAGTTGTAAAAGGTCATTACGAAAGCCTTACGTAATGTGTGGTTATTTTACGTAATGAATATCAAGCTTGCATTACGTAAAGTGTAAAGTGATTATGGAAGCCTTACGTAATGCTTCCAATTTAATTATTACGTAAGAAATAACTATGTTCCGTAACCTTTACGTAAAGGAAGGTAATTTTACGTAATGAATATTAACCTCGTGTTACGGAAAGTGCAAAGTCATTATGGAAGTCTTACGTAATGCTTTTGATTTAACTGTTACGTAAGAATTAACTATCATTTCGTAAACCTTACGTAATGGAAGGTTCCTTTACATAATGAGTATTAACCTCGCGTTATGTAAAGTGTTAAGTCATTACGAAAGTCTTACGTAATGCTTCTAATTTAATTGTTATGTAAGAATTAACTATCATTTCGTAAACTTTACGTAATGGAAGGTTTCTTTACGTAATGAGTATTAACCTCGTGTTACGTAAAGTGTTAAGTCATTACGGAAATCTTACGTAATGCTTCTAATTTAACTGTTACGTAAGAAATAACTATCGTTACGTAACCTTTACGTAATGGCTATTAAGTATAATAATTAAATAATAAAAAGGAAAAATAATCACGGTAAAAGAAAAAGAAAACCAATACAAATAAAATAGAAAAAAAGGAAAGATTTGTGATGGCCGGTCCCGCAAAATAAAATAAATCGCGGCACTGCCGGTTGCCTCTATTATCCATTTTTCCGTTTTTTTTTTCTTTTTAATCTATGGCTTAAAATGATTAAATGGTCCAGATTTAATCAAGTTACTTAACTTGAAATTATACTCATGTTACTGTAGGGAATCCCTACATACATTATGACCAAAGGAGTAAATTTTAAAATAATAAGGTAGTAACATAGAGTAGAGATAATTGATTGCAAACAAACTCAAATAAAACATCAAAGTCAGACGTTAACAGCTTGCTTATGAAAATTGAAAACAGTATGAAACCAAGTTACAAAAATAGGAAGTAGTAAGGATCATAATTCATAAGCCCACCACACAAATGAAAAAACTAATTACAAATAAGTACACCAAGTTAGTTACAAAGAATAACATAAGGCTAATTGATGGACACAAACAACACTGCTTCCCAAATACAACCAATCGAACACACTGCGTGAGGGTTTGTTTGGACAACACAAATTTTCTCACCCAAGTAGAGAAACCCCCAAGGACAGGCAAAATTATGTGGCAAGTTATAATTAGAGGTGGCAATTGGATCAGATTCGTGAATTGGATTGGTGGATCCATGAATCAAATGGATTGAATCCAATGGATTGGTGAACTCATTGATTGAATCAAATAGATTGGTGGACTGATCCATGAATCCAAATGACATCTAAAGTTTAGACCAAAATATAAATTTTGAAAAGTTTAGGTACTAAAATGTCAGTTGGACAACCCAAAAACATCACTTAGCCATAAGAAACAAAGCACCCGCTAAAGGGAAGTTTCATTATGTGCAAAAACAGCACTGCGCGCGAACACCACTTAACCATATTGAAAAAAGAAAACCCACTAACGGGTCATTCCCTGTACATGCTGAAACCTTTCACTGCACATATAGACTCATAGTTACTGTTTCAACTCGGAAGGGCCTTGGGTGTGGGCGGGTGTATGGTGGTCTCTGGTCGGTTTCCAAAGCTATGGTTCTGTTAGGATCATGATGGGACCTCTGGTTGGTTGGCTAGCAGATAGGTTTGGTTGCATTTGTGTGGCCCAGGTGAGGCCGCGTTGATCAACGCGTTGCCGTTGGGTGTTCTCAATGGTACTTGAGAGTTGAGAGAGAGAGAGAATGAGCGATCTGTCTCAGGATGGAGGGAAGCAGGAATGAAACTTGGCGGAGTGGAGGCCACGTTGCTCTATGGTTATTGCCCACTTATTTTACCTAACCGGCTCAATTCTCCATAACTGCTTTTTTTCCTCTCATTGGTTTCCGTCACACAGTCACACCACTCATCAGTCATCAGAGATCCACTCTCTCAATAGGAGAGATAAGGTTGAGATGTTGGGGATATAACTCACCACTTGCCTTTTTCCTCTTTCATTCAATCTTCCCTTTCTTACGATCACGGTGTCTCTTACCAACCAATTCGATATACTCTCCTTCTCTCCTTTCTTGATACCTCTCTTTGTAATCCCCAGTTTCAAATCAGCAAATGAAGATGCCCAGACGATGGCGAGGTGGGAGATGCCCGTTTTCGTGGCTTCAAAAAGGTCCACCTCACAGCGATGGTGGCGGACGGTAGAGAGGAGGGGAAACGCCAGGGCGATGCGGCTTTGAATTTGCCAGTCTATTTCCCTTTTCTTTCGGGTGAGCTCTCGATCTCATTTGTTGTTCCTTTGTTTACTAATATTTGTGTAAATTGATCTATTCTCTTTCCCCTTCTACTTGCAGATTTGCTTCTTGACGAGATTGGTCAAGGGTCCAGACGATTATCGTCGTCCCCGTCAGAGACGGTGATCAGAGTCATCAACCAAGGTATTCGTTTTCCTCGATGGTTCCATCCATCTATTTTCTTCCCCTCTCCCCATT